CCACCGGGCCAGCCCCACAACAGTCGTTTTAAAGCCAGTGTCTGACGTCTCTGTTCTCTGGTCCCCTCTGGGTCCACTTCTCGTCTGGTTTTTCCTCCAGGCTTATGGTCACATGGTCTTTTCTCCTCACATGACTGGTAATCTCTGGTTGAGAGGTGGACGTCACATGGGAAATGGAAGCAGTGGTTTGAGGCTCAGAGTGGTCACTCCAGTCAGACGCTGGCTTTCCCATCCCTGGGGGGCTCATCTGTGTCCTGCTCACCCTGACCCCTAGGGTGTTGTAGGATGTTCACCAGGACCCCCCTTCCAGTGGCCTCAGCTCCTCTGCCCCACCCTTCCTGCGTCCGTCCAAGCCTGTGCAGCTTCACAACCTCTCAGAGGCCAGTGGGTAGAGGAGGCCGAGTGCTGACACATCTGAACAGTGTCCGCAGTCCCTCCCTCCCACTGTGCTTGCCCTACTTTCTGTGACCTGTGCAAGAGTCTGGGGAGGGAGTGGATGGAATGTGATGACCGTCTCTGCTGGGGCACAGCAGGCGCTGGTCCTGGTGGCGGTGCTTACTTCCTGCTCTGTGCTCCTGGTTGGTGTAGAGGCTGTGCCCAGGTGGGCATCATCCGGGCCCTGGCAGAGTGCGGCATCCCCGTGGACATGGTTGGAGGGACATCCATCGGGGCCTTCATGGGTGCCCTGTACTCTGAGGAGCGGAACTACAGCCAGATACGGATCCGGGCCAAGCAGTGGGCTGAGGTAAGGGGCCTCCGCCGTCTCGAGTGCAGCGCCAGGGGTCCCTGCAATGCCGTGGGGACAGGAGGGCATTGAGACTTCTGGCCCCTGCACACAGCTCTGCAGGGCTCTGGCCTCAGAGCGTGGCTTGTGGGGTGGAGGAGCATAAAGGAAGCAAGGACATCAGTGTTGGGGGCTGGCTCTGGTGGGTGCCTGGTCTTAATTCATAAAGGTGACTGAGGACAACACGGAGAGGTCAGCACTGTTGAAAGAAAAGTTTAATGTTACCCACAGTTCCCCTGGAAACGAGAGGCACTGCCCATCCCCCAGGGCCACAGGGAGCACCAGTGCCAGTCAGGAGGCAGAGGGAGCGAGGGGAAGGTTAGGCCAGAGCCTTCACTGGGGTTTCTGCGGGAAGCGCAAGGCAGGGCAGGTACACAGTTTAAGACTGGCTTGTGAAGAAGCCCTGCGGGCTTGGGGCATGGGCGCTGGCCCCAGTTGTCTGGTACCCGGTCCTGGGTCGTTTCGGCATGGAATACTGGCTTGGTGTGAGAGTTTGATAAAGGAGGTGCTCGGTGTGTGGGCTCTGGATTGGTTGGTCTGCCTGAAAGACAAGCCCAGGGGCGAGCCCTCTGCTGTCTGAGAACTGGGAGCGCAGTCTGTCCTCGGCCTGTAAGACCCCAAATGCCAGAGCGTCAGGAACACAGAAAGTAAGAAAATACAGGTCTTCTTCGATTCATGATGGGGTTATGTCCTGATAAACCCAGTGTAAGTTGAAAATATCATAAGTCAAAAATGCATTTAATACACCTAACCTACCGAGTATCATAGCTTAGCCTGGCCTACCTTAAATGTGCTCAGAACACTTGCATTAGCTTACAGTTAGGCAAAATCATCTAACCAGAGCCTATCTTATAATAAAGTGTTGGCCATCTCATGTAACGTATTGAATACTGTCCTGAGAGTTAATGCAGAGTGGCCGTAAGTGTGTCGGTTGTTCACCTTCATGATCGCGGGGCTGACTGGGAACTGTACTCACTGCCACTGCCCAGCATCACAAGGGAGGATCATCCCGCATATCGCTAGGCTAGGGAAAGCTTAGAATTCAAACTTTGAAGCGCGGTTTCTACTGAATCCATATTGCATTCGCACCATCATAAAGTCGAAAACTCATAAGTGGAACGATCGTTAAGTCAGGGACTGTATGGTTAATACAGTTGGTCCTGTGATAAATGAACGCCAGTGGACAAACCCAGAATCTGAGAAACCATGGCTGGACAGCTCCCATGGACAGAGTGGAGGGTGGGCGAGTCCAGCTCGCTGCTCACCTGCGGGTGTGGGCTACAGTCTGCCCTTCTTGGGGGCTCTGCTTGTTTTCATGGAACAGAACAGAGCCCTGGCTGAAACTCTGAGTGAGATCGAAAGTATTTGTGTTCTCCTTTTAAAAAGAAAAGGAAATTGGTTGTCTGAGGTAGAAGCTCTCAGGGCAGGCTGTCTGCCCTGTGCACATGGCCCCAAGGACACTCTGTTCCAGAGATGCCTCCTTCCCTGAAGTGAGCCACGCTGTCACCTCTCAGTGGGCTGCTTTAAGGAGGGGACCCAGAGGCTGAGTGGCACAAGTCACTAAGGACAGCCTCCAAGAGCAGTGGCTGCAGGGGACAGTGTGCTCGAGCCTCACCGAGGGCCTGGTCACAGGCCAAGGAGGCTACCTCCTTTCCCACCCCGCTGGTCTGGTGCAGGTGTGGGAACAGTTAGGGAGCTTTGGGCCTGATGCCCCCGCCATCCTGAGTGTGTGCTGGGACATGGGAGCCTGCCAGGTGGCCACCCTGCAGGTGTCTGCAGGGGCCTGTGCCCCTGCCCTGCTGAGGGCATAGGTGGTTGTGGGGCTGCCAGGCTCAGCTCTGCAGGCCTCTCTGGTGCTGGGCAGGGACTTTCTTGGGAGTGAGGGCCTTGCTGACTGTGGAGGGCCCTGGGGATGTCCCACGCTGGCCTGGGTCCTTGTCCTCCAGGAGCATGTGTGTTCCCTCTGCTCCTTCCAAGGCAGGACTTTCACGCGTCAGTGAGAGCACATAGGGGGCAGGTGACCCACCCCCAGCTGGGGGCCTACCCCATGTTCAGCCCATGCTCCGGGCTTTTCCATCCCAGCTGCTGTCCACACAGAGGCAGGGAGGATGCTTTCTCTCCAACCCTCACCCCTAAGGAGTCAGCTGGCCCCGAGCCCAGGTGTTGGGGCAAGGCCAGCACTGCCTGCCTGGTCACGTGTCCTGCTCCTTGCAGGTCTAACTGGCCCCCATCCTCACTGAGGAGGGATGGGCCTCGGTCCCACCAGGGAGAATGGGGCCCTCTGCAGGGCCACTGCTCCCCAGGACCCTGACAGAGCGTCTACCATGGTGGAGTGTGAAGGCCAACCCCGAGCATGCCAGGTGGGGGCAGCCCTCCTGGAGAAATCTCCGTGGGTCTCCTTGCTCTCAGGGACCTTGGTGGGCCGAGGTGGGGCTCCTCCTTGCCGCTCACCTGCCCAGTGCTGGTCCTGGCCTGGGCCTTGTCCCAGCCTCGCCTTCCACTTTCCCCACTGAACAGGCAGCGAGGACCAGGCTGGCCAGGCCTGCTGGGGTGTCCCCATAGGAACTCTAGGCCCTGCCGCTCAGGCCATAGCATTTGCTCCCCCAGAGAGCCCCACAGGATGCTTCTCCCCTGGAGGATGCTTCCCGCATGCCCTTGTTCTGTTCGCAGTGGTGTTCTGCCCGTGCCTGCAGGTGGGGGATGTGAGCTCCTCCTCCTCTGCAGGAGCCTCACATGTGCCCTGCCCACTCAGGACATGACGTCTATGGTGAAGACCATGCTGGACCTGACCTATCCCATCACGTCCATGTTCTCGGGGGCCGGCTTCAACAGCAGCATCTACAGTGTCTTCAAGGACCGGCAGATCGAGGTGCCCCCCCCCCCCCCCCGAGCAGGGACGACCCTGGGGAGCTCCAGCCTGGCCTGTGTCTGGATGCTTGGCTCCTTCCTCATCCCCCAAATCCCCAGGCCTGCAGGGTAGGGGGCTGGTGGCCAGGCAGGATGGCCCCTCTGAGCTCTGCCTCTCCTCACAGGACCTGTGGATCCCCTACTTCACCATCACCACGGACATCACTGCCTCTGCCATGCGGGTCCACACAGATGGTGAGCGCCTCTTCCTGGGATGCAGGGCTGCCCTCGACACGGGCCCAGGCATGCACAGGGCATAGCCCCACTCAGGGCAGAGCGGCTCCGGGAGATGGCTTTGAAGGACCAGTTTGAGGAGAGGGCAGGAGGAGAGCCTGGCTGCTCCGTGAGCCTGGGGAAGCCTCAGGATCACCCAGAGAGGCTCAAGGAGACTGAACACAGACATGACCCTGCCATGAGCACGAAGGATGGGGGGATGGGGACATAGCCTGGAGCCCAGAGACCCCAGAGGCCAGCAGGGCACAGAAAGAGGTGGAGACAATCATGTGAACTGAGGAGAGGACTAGAGTGAAGTGCACACTCAGGTCGTGGGTGCTAATGAAGGGCACACTCAGAACGTGGGTGTAGATGAAGGGCACGCTCAGAATGTGGGTACGGATGAAGGGCACGCTCAGGACGTGGGTGCAGATGAAGGGCACGCTCAGGACGTGGGTGCGGATGGAGGGCACGCTCAGCACGTGGGTGCTGATGGGGGCACGCTCAGGACGTGGGTGCGGATGGGGGGCACAGTCAGGACGTGGGTGCAGATGAAGGGCACACTGAGGTCACGGTGTGTGTGGTTAGAATAGGCAGTTGGTGGCATTACTGGGATGGGGACAGTGAGTCCCTGGGTGGGCAGCTGAGGGCCCTTTCTCAGCCAGTGTTTTGGCAGCTGCTGGTTGTGTCTGGTTAGAGGGTGAGTGGGGGGCGTGTTGGCAGAAGGCCGTGCCCATGCCAGTTTGGAGCCCAGCACATTGGAATGTGTTGAGACCCCAGAGCAAGCCTGGCCTCCCTTGGGCCTCCCATCCCTCCGGTGCTCCTTTCCTGGAGAGCCTCCCTCGGGGAGGATGGTGCCCAAGAGTGTGTCCATGTGCCCAGGCCTGGTGCCTTCACCGGAGGTCGGACGTGCAGGCTTCAGGACCCCACATAGGCGAGGCTCTGATCCGAGGGTCCAGGGCAGGCCCTCCGTGGGCGGCAAAAGGCTTCTCTCCTGCCCCTTGGCAGGGTCCGGCAACCTCTCCCCTTGACCACTCTCAACTCCCTCCCAGGCTCCCTGTGGAGGTATGTGCGTGCCAGCATGTCCCTGTCAGGCTACATGCCCCCCCTCTGTGACCCCAAGGACGGACACCTGCTAATGGACGGCGGCTACATCAACAACCTCCCAGGTACTGTGGTGGGCGGGGAAGGACTGCCCTGGCTCCTGCCTCAGCTGCCTCCACTCCCGGGAAGGCCAGTGGCACACGTTTTCCTCAGAGTGTGCCAAGGGGAAATGACAGGCTCGCCTGGAGCACACAGAACAGGCACACGCACAGATGCACGCCCGCGCACACGCTCGGGCACTGTGTGCTCCCAGCATATGGCTGTGTTTGTCAGCTCAGCAGTGCTCAGAACAAGGGCCAAGTAGAGGAGCTGGGAGCAATTACATCCCGTCTGCGCCCACAGTCGGAACTAACAGCCTGCAGGTGTCGGGTTTGCTGTCAGGGAGGCCCCTCCCTTGGGCGCACCTGTCACCTGTTGGACAGTTCTGTGCGCTCAGCTGCCCACCTCTACAGGCCCTGGTGTGACATGGAGGAGACTCCCTGGGTCAGGGCCTCGGGCAGGCTCCACCCCTGTCGCTCCAGCTCCACCCCTATTCCCCCAGCTCTGTCCCATCCCCCCAGCTCTGCTCCTACCTGGGGCTCTGGTTACCTGTCCCAGTTGGTGACCAGGGCCACGTCCTCCCCAGCGGATGTGGCCAGGTCGATGGGGGCAAAGGTGGTGATTGCCATTGATGTGGGCAGCCGGGACGAGGTGGACCTCACCAACTATGGCGACGCACTGTCTGGGTGGTGGCTGCTGTGGAAGCGCTGGAACCCCTTGGCCACGAAAGTCAAGGTAGGGCACACCCCTGTGCAGTGCCCAGGCAGGCGCCACTTCTCTGCGGCTTCTCCGTGCAGCCTCCCCACACCCTCGTGCCTGGGTCCCTGAGAGGGGTGCTGCGGTGCCTTCTGTGGGCAGGGGAGGGGGCACACCTTCCAGGCTCCGAATCCAGCGGGCTGCAGTTACTCATCATCCCTGCCCACGTGGGACCAGCTCTGGGGAAGGGGGACTGGCCTAAAGGCTCCACACCGCACCAGGACCCATTCTAGGACCTCTGCTGGGTGCCGGCCCGCCCCCAGGCCTGGCGGAGCTGTGTCTCACTTTGGGGGTGGGGGGAGGGAGGTGACCAGGGCACGAGACGCGGGTGGCTGTGCCCGCATGGGGTCTGTGGGCCACGTGGGGAGGGGAGAGCCTTGCTCAGGTGGCTGTGCCGGTGGCAGGTATTGAACATGGCAGAGATCCAGACGCGCCTGGCCTACGTGTGCTGCGTGCGGCAGCTGGAGATGGTGAAGAGCAGCGACTACTGTGAGTACCTGCGCCCCCCCATCGACAGCTACCGCACCCTGGACTTTGGCAAGTTCAACGAGATCTGCGTGAGTGTCGCTGGGGGCGTGTGAGGGCCCCTGCCTGGCCTCCCTGCCCTCCCTCCTAAGAACGCAGGAAGCGGGGCCTCTGGCACCTGGTCACGGGGTCTCGGGTGTGTGTGTGCAGGAAGTGGGGTACCAGCATGGGCGGACAGTGTTTGACATCTGGGGTCGAAGTGGTGTGCTGGAGAAGATGCTACAGGATCGGCAGGGGACGAGCAAGATGAAGCCATGTGATGTGAGTGCCCGAGCTGATGCCCCCTGTCTTCCTTCCTCCCTCCTGTGATGGCTGGCCCTCCTGTGACCTGTCTTCTGCCCACCCCGCCCATGGGACGTGCAGAGCTCCCTGCAGCCGGCAGCACCTCGGAGCACCCCCTCAACTGCTCAGGCCTGCCGGCGCCCCCCGGGGGGCCAGAAGAAGAGGACAGGGGCAGCAGCCCTGGGGAGCTGTCTCCTGGCCTCTGTCCTGGCATCCCCTCTCTTTGCCCCCCCTCTGGCTCTCCACCCTAGTGGTGCTTGTGGTGGGAGAGGATGGTGGTCTGGGTGGGGGTCTGCTCAGGACTCTGCCCATCTTTCGTGCCCCCGCCCCCATTCCAGGGGCTCTGGCACCTCAGCAGGCTAGGGCCACAGAGGGTCGCAGAGAGGGTGGGGCTGGGGGCCTGGCGGGGCAGTCAGGGCCTGCGGTCAGGGGGGCGTGGGGTGTAGTGGCTTTGGCCAGATGTCTTCTCCGCCTTGGCCTTCCAGGTCCTCCCCTGCCCCAATGCCTCCTTTACGGACCTTGCTGAGATTGTGTCGCGAATCGAGCCTGCCAAGGCGGCTGCAGTGGATGGTGAGTTGGACTCCTGGGGCATGTGCCTGCACAGCTGAGGACAGTGGTGGCAGTATCCCCTCCTGACCCTTGTTCAACAAGCCGCCCTGGCCACCAGGCTCACTGTAGCAGCCTCTGGACCTAGTTGGCTATGTGGCAGGACCCATGCCACCCTGGGAGTCTGTGGCCATGAGCTCCAGTGGTGCCTGGCATGGCTCCTGCCCTCGGGAGAGGACCAACACAGCCTCCCTCTGCCCAGATGAATCTGACTACCAGACCGAGTACGAGGAGGAGCTGCTGGAGGGCGCCCAGGACGCGTACGCTGACTTCCAGAGCTCCCTGGCCGACTCAGCCTCCGACTCGGTGAGCTGCCAGCCCTGCCCCTTGGCCAAGCCGGCTCTGAGGGCCCCAAGCAGGTGGGATGCTCCCTCCCTGCTGCCCTGCAGCCCAGGACCAGAGAACTCTAGCCCGGGGTCAGCCCTCTGGGCTTACCCCCACCTTACTGTGTGTTTACTTCCAGGAGGATGAGCTCTCACTTCGGCATCGGGACCCCAGTCTGGCATCTCCAAAACCGTCCCAGGACTCCTCATCCCCCTGGCTGTCTGACCAAGATGGGTAGAGGTCTCTGCTCTGATGTGCCCTGAAGCCAGCATCTTCTGTGGGCCTGTCCCAGAGACTGTGGCTCCTGCAGCTCCTGAGGGCCCTTCCCTGGCCTGCTAGGGAGACCGGGCTGGGGCCCAGGGCCCTGCCTGCCAGTGCATCCAGCTTCTCCCGTGCTGGGGCCCAAAGCTATGTTGGCGTGTCTCAGGTCTCTGTGCACTGGCAGCTCCTGGTGGGGCGCTCGGTCCTGGCACCCCCTGCACACACGGCAGCCCTAGGAGGCCATGCCAGCCCCTGAGAGCCCCAGTGAGGCCACTGAGAGATGTTGGAGCCCCTGATGCTTCCAGTTAGCGAGTCAATAAAGGTAGATCTGACTGTGTGGGCTGTGTGGTCCGTGCGCCGGAGTCCTGTGGCAGAGAGCAACACCAAGATGTGCCCCACGGGAGCGGGGCTGTAGGGCCACATCCCTGAGGCTGGGGTGACTGTGGCGTTGCCTGCCCTCCCCCAGGTCGCTGTGTGGGGACCCCAGGACCCCAGGCACCCCTCTCCTGGGGCTTGAGACCCAGGGCAGCAACTCCAAGCCAGGCAGGCAGGGCACCCCGGGTCTGGGGTGGAGCTGGGGTCCCCCACACCAGGGATGAGCCCCTCCCGATCGCTCAGGAGGTGTTCCCACCAGTGCACACAAGATGCTCCCCTGAGACGTGGAACACTCACACTTTATTTCTGAGATCGTTAAATGGCACCTGGGGCGACCTTCTGTATAAGGGGTGGGAGGACTGCTGGCCTGTGACTTTGGGATCCACGATCCCTGCAGGTGTCAGGGCTGGGACGTGGATCTTCGAGGGCCTGGGAGACCCCTGACTGGAGGCCGGGCACCTTGTGGTCAGGTGACCGCCCGCCTCAGTTTCCCTGCTGGAGAAAAGTGGCATGAGAGAGCAGAACCAGGTGCCCCGCCCCTGCCCCTGCCGTCACTGTGGGCGGAGCCCCTTGGGCCCGTGAAGCCACGGTGGGCAGAGCCGGCGCCCCAGGCGTGACGTCATGGTGGGCCGTCCCTCCGAGGCCCGCCCATGCTCCTGACGTCATGGTTGGCAGAGCTTCTTGGGCCCGCTACGTCACGGTGGGCGGGGCGTCTCCCAGACCAGACGTTGCGGTGGGCAGTCTCGCCTAGCCGCGCCCCTGCACTGACGTCACGGGGGGGGGGGGCGAACCTGCAAGCCCCGCCCCCAGACCGGGCTTCTCGGACGGCCCCTTTAGCCCCGCCCCAGCCCTGACGTCACCGTGGGCGGCCCCTCCACGCCACGCCCTGGCCCTGACGTCGCGGTGGGCGGAGCGTCACCCCCGGTGCTGGCCGAGCTCTCCGTGTGCGGCGGGACGCGGAGCGCTCGGCGAGGCCATGCGGGTCCAGGGCCCGAGCCCGAGCCCGAGCCCGAGCCCGAGCCCCAGCCCCAGCCC